TGGAGAAGATGCCAGAAAGATAGGTACTGGGGTTCTAGTAAACTTTACAAGGATAGAAATAGTGTAACTTAGCAGTTAAACAAATAACCCCTGTGACTGCAAGTGTTAGATAACTATAACGTGTTGCATAAAACTAGGTCTAGATGTGTAGGATATAAAGGCTCTAATAAGTTTTCTATTGAGGATAAAGTAGTCCTAAGGAGACCGATAAGCATCGGGAACTTGGATAGGCAGCGCCTTGAGATGTTCCCGTGATATAAGGAGGATTGCATATGCAAAAGGTTTAAATAAGCAAGACTCCTAGTTGGCTTGCAGATATGGCAACTAGTATAGAACTTATATAGTAATGTGTAAGCGGACTACTTAAATTAGGTACCAAAAGTGCATATGTGGCTAGTTGTAACCTCCAATGTAAGGTGAGCCCTTGATGGCATGCCGTGTCTTAATATACTTGAATAAAAACATCGCAACTTCCAAAATAGGGACTTTAACTTAAAAAAAAAAAAAAAATAAAAAAAAAATAAAAAGATAAATCATTTATTTATTAATATTAAACTTAAATTAAAAACCTGTTAAGAATTTTCTTAAAAGTTGACTAAGCTTTCCCAATCTATATATATATTAAAATCAACACTAATGAATAGTTACAAAATATAAAAAAATAAGATAAATTTGTTAATAATTAAAAAATCTAATTGTATTTAAAATATTTTTAAAATTAGTTTTAAACCATCTTTTGAGTTTATTAATTATAATTATATGTTTTAGTTGTATATATTGTTATAAGTAAATCTGGTCTCAAAATCATAAAAAAACAAATATATAATAATTCATATAAAAACACTATAAAAACTGTCATACTACAATGCCATAACCCAAGATAAATCAAATTGCTTATTAAGTAACAATGCTAATCTTATTGAAAAAAAAACTACTTGCCTGATTTGAAATACATTTGTCAAAGTAATATTATCTTAATAAATAAAGTTTATAATCATGCTAATGCATTATCATATATTGAGTCTTGTGTAGTTATAAGAGAAATAAAAAATTCAATAAAAAATTCTAAAATAATAACAGATGAATTGTAAGAAAAAAAGAAATGTTAGCAAATATGAGTAAAATGACTTATGTCAATAAGAGAAAAGATGCTCAAACCATGTTCAAAATTTCCTTTTTTTTTCTCTTGTAATTCTCTATAAATAAGATTCACATTCCTCCTCTTGTAATGCATAGAAGACCAAATTACCCTTAGACCAAACTACTTCTTGTCCAAATCACCTTTAGATGATAAACCCACCCTAAATAAATAAAGCAAAATTATAATTAATAAAATTCTAATTTGTGCTAAAAATAAAGATGATATGCTCCTTTAACCCATTACCTTACATCCGAATTCCCCTTGTGACGTTCTCAAAAGGCACCTTTGACCAATGCCAAATCGAAACCACCTCACCTGCTTTTGAGTGACGTTACGAGACGTCAACAGTTCAGAAGCGACAATTCGTTGCATTCCTTCTTTTCCTAGTGGTGCCGTTCACGACCGACCTAGCCCGTATCAACATTCATACGTATAAAGTTTTTTCGTGCAGATCTCGGAAACTCAATTAATTCAAATACATATTTGATTGCATGAGAATGAAAATCCGTAACCAATCATAATAAATCATTAAATGTATTTCCTGATTTTCACTCATTTGAACTCATAGGAAGAAGTTCGTCTGATTGGCTCAGTAACTTATTTTTAAACACTTTAAAGTAATTTTTGGTAACACGACGTTTTACTAACAAAAAATCGTCGCGAAAACCATTCATAGCTTTAGAATAGTGCCTATATTCACCGTGCAAAAGAATCTAAAAAAGATCTTTTTCCCCATGTACTTTGCTTAAAAGACAAAATATACCGACTGTTTATTGGGCAATCTCAAATTATATTGAAAGCGAAGATAAATGAGACCGTTTTTGTTCAAGACGTTAGATTTGAAAAAAAACTTTTATTACTTACAATTGAATTTGAACAAGAATAGGTTTATGTAAAAGAAGTTCCGGGTTTAATACTTGGTTCTTGCGTTGTGTTTAGGTCTGTTAATCGTAATAAGTTTTGGTTTATAGATTGTGGATTGTATTAATGTGTTTGGGCTTATTAGCAATGAATACCACTTTTACTCCACTTTATGTGTATCGATCTATCTTATATATATTTGAAATAAATTAATTCCTTTGTATATTTATAACCTTCTTCATACGAAGTTTTTTTGGTTTCTAGTATATAATATTAAAATTATGTAATTTGATTGGTTAATGATCATGGGTAAATCCATCAATTAAATGAACTTCTTCCAATCAGATATCTATTACTTCGAAGTTCTTACATAATTAATGCAACTTCTTTAAACTTTAATTAGATTCAAATAAGCATAAGATAAATTTTATAGTTTTAATAAGCTAGAGATAAGAAGCCAATAAAGTTGGCCTCGGATGCGAAAGATAAGAATTCAGACACTCAACCTCTAATCTTAAAGTTGAAATAGATTTTAGAAAGTAAACGTATGGTGTCAAATAACACTTTTTTTTATTTGAGATTATAGAGATGGATAATACAAGGTTTATAGAAAGTGAGACTTTTCAACAATCGGTATTTATTTTATTTATTTATGTTTTAAAAAAAAAAAAGATTACAGGATCGTGAAAGCAATTATTCATTTCATTCTCATATTGTTTAAAGGTTTTGTTTCAAGAACAAGACGAACACTTACAATCATTATATGGAACTGCTCTTAATATCCATGATATTGCTACGACAATGAGAGATGAGATTGAGGATCAAAATATGTGAGTTGTCTTTTTTATAAATTATAATAAATTATATAAACTTATATAATTGAATTATATTCGAATTTACATTTATAGATTGCTTGATGAATTTGGAGTGCGTGCGGATCGTACATCTAGTAGATTAGAAAATGCAATGAAAAAAGTTAAATATATTATTAAAGCGAATGAAGGTACATCTTTTATTTATGATTTTGGTTATTTTCAATTATTTTGAACTTTACTAAATAGAAAATTGAATTACGATCTTTTGTTTCAGAGACTAAATCTAATTTTTGTATTGGAATCTTAATCGTAGTTTTATTCATATTATTAATATTAGTTCTAGCAATTTGAATAGAATCTTGTTATTCATCGCAACCTGCGATATCGCAAGTTAAGCACGTAATTGACGATCTGCACATCAGCCAGTAAAATCGTAGAACTTAATTTTATATACGTATATCGATATAATTTTTTAATTTATTTTTATTAATTTATTTTGTTTTAAATACAAGAGATGTATAGATGAAAAATTAACAATGAAAAATATTTATAAGCGCACAAATCCGTAATTAGGCTGTCTGAAGTTAAACTTTGGTTAACATCATTCCTGTTTGCGATTAAAAAAATTGTCCCATATACTTTGCGTGACAAAATGTATTCGTTTAAAATTCTCTCGCTCACTCAAGCAAAAAATTAACTTCGGCAATTCAATTAGAATCTCTTGACTAAACGCTAACTGGGAGTAAATCGTCATAACAGATTTGCCACTCTAAAATATGTTATTCATTTTATTGTTCGTTTCAATCCCCAAGAATTCCAGAAGTGATGTTAACCAAAGATTAGATTGCAAGCGGCCTTATTACACGTTTCACTAGTGTTGCCCATCCCTGCAGATTTTGGTTACAAACGAATGCCTTATGTTCATCCGCGCCAACTCCATTTCCATCATTATAATAATTGCCAAGCGCAAATATTCCATTAACGTTCCCACACTTCAGCTCTTAGGTCAATCTACGTAGTAATTAAAATGAAATAGAAAGAAAAATTAAATTAATTAGTTGCATAACATCAGATCTTGAAGCTATCCATTCGCAAGGATTAAAGCATCGGAATCTTCATAGTGGAAACATTTTGCGAGACGATTTAGATAAAGCATATGTTACAAATTTGGGACTCTTTTTCAACACATCTAACATTACGCGCCAACCATCTTTGCAGATCTTTTTCAAATACCAATTCCAGTGCCAATCACAAGTAGTCGATCAAACATTCCGCTTTTCATCTTTACCAAGTTTTGATAATAAATAAACGCCTATTCTCATTCTTTTCAACTCAATTCCAGTTATCAATTCTATTAAAATACAGTAAAATTCAACGTTAAATTTCCACTGACGTCACCTGTCTCTGCATATTTTTGATAATAAATGAATACCTTACGTTTCTTTTTTTTTAACTCAATTTCATCTTTATAACAGTTGTTGAGCACAAATATTTCATTAGTATTCCCAATCTCTGTTGATTTTTGATAATAAACGGGTAAGTTATGTCCAACCGTTAACCAATAGGCCTAATCTAAACATAATTCTAGACGCTGCGAAACTTCGTAGAAAACATATCACAACACGACTTACGATAAATACGTACATAAAACTACGCGAAACAGCGTCGAAGATCATCCAGAAGCGTAGTAAACCCCAATACCCGGTTTTTTCTTTATAGTTAGGCTAAAAATTTTTTTCTAATAAAATATCTTGGTCCTTATTAGAGTACCTAGATTATTGCAAAGGTGTTTTGTCAATAAATTGAGAGTTAGAACAATTAATAGCACTAAAAGAAAACATTTCAATTTCACCCAATTTTTCTAAAAGCCAGAGGTTTAATTCACTGCTTAAGGTCTACTTTACCAATTAGAAGGTATTGTTATGCTTTTTCCTTAAGCAGTCAAAAGGCTGAGCGGTTAATATGGCGACTTCTTTAACGCAGCTCTTTACTTAATTATACAATGTGCCGAACTCTAGGCCTTATGAGTACTTCTCTAGATACTGGTTAATATTCCAAGTTATTGGACTATTCTGTAATTGGACAATGTTAACCATGATATCTATTGCTTACGTCCTATTTAGTTTCTATTTAGGATACAACTTTAGGTTGTTATAAACCTAGTCATAGGATACACCGCTACGTGGTGGCTAGGACGAGTAAGCTAACTGTTTAGCTGAAACTAAGTATCCTTCTAGGTGCGTATTTTATTATTTATTAGTTTTGTATTTATTATTAATAATTTCAAATAATTTCGCATTTTAGTTTTTTTTTTTTGTTCATCTAATAGATAATGGAAAATTTAAGTTTTCGTCGTTTTGGTATCTTTATCGAAGAAATTTAAGTTTTCGTCGTTTTGGTGTCGTCGTCGAAGAAAATAAGTTTTCGTCGTTTGGTGCCGTCGTTAAAGAGATTTCAAGGTTCGATATTTCTGCTAGTACATGTTATGATTATAATTCCGCTAATACATGTTATATTAACTGACTTTTAATAAAAAAGAATAGTTTTTCAGCTAGAAAATAGTAAATATTCTGTATCAAATATCATCATAAATATGTCATCATATCGTAAGCAAACATATTTAATAAATAAAATAATAGCTTATCGCTTATAGGAATATCAAGAATTTGTACTCTTATTGATTTTCTTTTCGATAATGCGAAATACACGTTTACAACAAAGATATGCATAATATATTTGCAAAATATCGATTTTTTTTTGATTTTTTATAAAGGATAATTGCTTTGGGATTTATTCAGCAAGTATAACCATATATAGTTGTTTAAAAATAGATAAAATTTAATTTTTTAAAGTAACTTAATTCAAAAGACATTAATAACAAATTTGATTAGCAGCAAAAAAATTAAATCATACTCGAAACGAGCAATTGTTCTTAAAAGCGTTATGAATAAGTTTAGCTAATTACATATCGAGCAAATCACATTATGCAGATTTCTCATGCAGTCCATTTTATTAATAATAAAATTTAAATAATAATAAAAAAATAAAAAAGCTAAGCACGGACTCAAATTACTGTAAATCTAAACAAAAACAAACAGCAACTGGGTTAATTGTTCGGTAAGGAAATAACGATAATTAAAAGATCATTAACGATTAATCCATGAATTTTTTTTGTTAGGACAAAAATGGCAGTTTCATAGATACTTGATTTTTTTAAAAAATCAATCGCTTCTATTTTTTACACTCGATCTTGCGGTCTGATTGGTCAATCTGGAAGTGATTCATCACGATATCACTATAAGGTGCTACCAGATGATTCACGTGCCCTTTTAAACGTGTGTATGTACGGGGGTTACTCAGATATTTCAGTATTTTGTTATAAAATCCATTCCACTTCGCCACCATTTTTTTTTGTATATATTTATTATTATTATTATGCAACTTCCCCCTAAACAAACACCCATCGAGTCTTCAACAAATAGCCCTCTTTGTGCAAGCATTCTTGCCAGAATTTGTAGGTTTCCACTCCATTTGATCTCGAAGATCACTCAAAAACTATTAGGTCCTGTAAAACGGATTCCACGTCGAACTCAAAATCGGTCACCTACTTGTGCTTTTAGAGTAATATGGATAAGTGCTTTGTTGGTTGGCGAAATTTTAATATTCTCTTACGCCATGCGGAAATGTTCCTGGCCTTATGATGCTCATTGGGTAACTTGACCTTTTATTTTATTTCATTTTGAAATATTTTTTTATATTTTGCATAGGCATTGCATAGGGCTTTCTTTTAATTTAGTTTATATTAAAAAATATTTATCAGGATACATCATTGGCCAATCCATTTAGAATTGCATTGATTGCCGACCCACAGATAATAGATAATTATTCATATGGTCGTACGGGTATACTTCAAAGAATATCTGAAGTATATCCTGACATGTATATGAGAAAAAATTGGATAAATTTACAAAATATTTTTGATCCGGATGCAATAATATTTCTGGGTGATCTAATGGATGGAGGAAGAGAATGGGATGATGATAAGTAAGTTCGATTCTTCAATAAATATAGAATATTGAATGTATCATAAGTTGAATGTCATTAATTTTAATTTTAATTATAGGTGGGAAGATGAATTTTTCCGCTATCGTCATCTATTTTTACCAAAGAAACCAACAAGAACTCCAATTTATTATTTGGTAGGGAATCATGATATTGGATTCGGTGATAATATAATTCCCAGTGCATATGACCGATTTCGAAGAATATTTGGTAAAACAAATTATAATGTTGTGCTTGGTAATCATTCGATAATTGTCGTCGACACAGTAACATTAAGTGGATCAGATGAACTTTTGAAGGAAGAAGCAATAAGTCTAATTGAAAAGCTTGAAAATGGTATGTATAAGCAAATAATTAAGATATGTAGATCATGTGAATTGATTTCGTTGAACTTTTCAATAGATTCTTCGAATAATTTTCCCCGAATATTGATGACGCACGTTCCCTTATACCGCCCACAAAATACTGACTGTGGGCCATTACGGCAAAACGGACATTACATTAATCAAGGCTCTGGTTACCAATATCAAAATTTAATAGTCGAGTCATTATCAAATTTCATATTAGATCATATAAAACCAATACTCGTGTTTAGCGGTGATGATCATGATTATTGTGAAATTCGACATGAAAGGGTGCCTGAAGTTATAGAAGTTTCGGTGAATAGTTTTAGTTTTGCTATGGTAAGTTATCGTATTTGTCTAAATTTTAACATATGAATTTACTTAAAGTTATTATTTTTATACACCTTCAGGGTGTTAAAAGACCAGGGTTCCTTCTATTAAGCCTTTACAACCCACATAATAATACTTCATTAGATAGCATAAAAAATAATCAAACTACATTCGCATACACGCAATGTTTACTACCAAATCAAATCAGAATATATTTGTGGTATGGAATTCTGGTTATTACAACGTTGGCTTGTATATTTTCACATACATTTGTAAAGATTAGAAGAAGTAGAGAAATGCTGCCGGTATGGCTTAGATATCAACAAAAAGGGCGTTGGATAATATTTAATTATCAATTTTGGAAGACTGTTGTAAAAGAGATTATAAGCATCGCATCTGTTGCTTTAGTAACGTATTTAATTTGTTGGATATGGTTTTTGATTTGATAATATGATTCCATTCTTTTCAAATATGAATAACACTCTGAAATCGTGTCTAAACAAAATATACCTGAACAATCGTAATATATTATATTCATTTTAATAAAATCCATAAATTGTAAATTATTTCATACCACCGCATATGAGTTAATTGATTCTAATTATTAGATCGTTTTGTCAATGCGTACATCATAGGTTTATTTTCACATTAATACTTAATTTTTATGATGCTATTACCGAAATACTAAATTTCAACGGATTTACTTTATACATTGTATAATTTAAGATTCCATTATTTCGCGGAGACGACGGACTGTAGAACGAACAGTAGCGGCAGTAGTAGTTCTAAGGTTGAAAAAAAAAACATTTGTTAATCATATCATTAAACTTATTTATATGCATTGTACCCCAAATGTCAATCTAGTCCAGATTGTCAGTCGGGCCTAAAATAATTGGGACAAATTTTCATCTGGGGCACAACATATGTATCAAAATATAAATTCGAACAGAAACTTACGAGACAGTCCATGCACCGCCTGCCACAACTTTATTACATGCCCGACATTTCCAAATGCCTACGGCTTTCCTTTTAACTGTTTCCTATTTAGCATTAGTAAATAAATTTGGTTAAAATCATGCTGATTATTATAACCAGATAATTTGTTATCTCGAACATAAATATATTACTTTGCCACAAAAAGCGCATGTATATTTTGAATGTTGAGTAATCTCCATCTTTTTAATTTGCTTTCTCAATGAAGCACCATAACGAGTACCATATTTTCCGACAACTCCGACCTATAAATGATGAATTTCTTGATATTAGTTAAATAAAAGGTTCTCAATACTATTTTATCTGATCATTAGTTAATAAGTATTTTGATAATTAACCTTTTTTGTACGCTTGGCCTGTTATAAAAAAAAATAATAATAATGAAGGTAAGTATATGAAAGTAAAAATTCTTAATTATACAAAATTAAAAACTTAATATATAGTCGTCTTTAGTGTTCAAGATCGAATGTTCTCAAAAATATAAAACATTTTAAAAATTTTAAAAAAATCCTATCGTAATTATAATTGAACTTTTTTTTATCTTCATTATTAAACACAAAATTAAATCTTGATGTTCCCATGGAGTAAAATATGAAATTTAATCAAAAACTTGTTAATTTACCATTTGGATGATCGGTAAACTTAAACGCGAAGGATGATAAATAAATTTTTTTTTTAAAGATGAAAATTTTTATGTATTTTTTTTTAGCCAATCAAAATGTCTCTCACCACATTGGACTTATCCAAGTAATTTTTACTAGTGTTCCGCAGAACCGAACTGAAGACCCTGAACCGACCAGGAATCGACCCCGGTTCGGTCGGATCTTTTAAATTATGCACGTTGGTTGGCTGCAGTTAGGATCGGATAGATTAGTGGAGCAACCAAAATCCAGCAGATCGACCCAAATTTAGGGTCGGAATAGACTCGAAGCTAGGCCGATATTGAGCAATACCAGTCAACCATAACTCATACAGGGGGATTCCCAAAATTCCGGGTCGAAACCATCGGATTTAGTCCGGCATTTAGTTAGCATTAGTAATACAAGTTAACCATTTCTGGGCCAAAATTATCAGCTGGGCAGCTTTACTTAAGGAATGAGCTATGGTTTCATTAGTAAAACTTTTAGTAATCTTGGGCAAAATTAGTTAATTCCGGCCCTGCCGATCATGATTCCGAAGTATTCCGACCCGGAATTTTGGGGATCCCCTGTATAAGTTAGTCAACATACTATCATCTGGGTAGCTTTGCTTAGTACATAGGCTTCAAAGGAAAAAGATCGTCTGATTGGCTAATGCAAATCAATTGCCTGAGTAACTTATTTATACTTTTTAAAGTACTTTTCTATAACACATTTTACTAATAAAAAATTGTTACAAAGATCATTTATAATTTAAAAATAATTTAATTTTTTCACAGGTTATAAAAATAATTACAGATGTTCTTTATAAAAAAAGAGCATAATAAACTATTAACAATTTGGAATTTTGAAGAATTTCATGCAGTTATTAAATTAAAAGATTAATAAATAAAGTCTTTTTTTAACAAATTATATTTATCAACTAATATATTAAAACAATTAGTATTTTTATGTTATTTTATTTGTGATATTAGAAATAAGTTTGTTAATAATATAAAAAGAGATATAAAAATGTATTTAGATTTTATAAGAATATATTTTTTTTTTTTTTTTGGTATTAAGATGACCTCTTTGGTCTTTTAACTTTTATTAATTACTTATCGGTATTGTGGTTCAATGAACTACTACAGGAGAGTGTACAATTGGTTACATGTGTAACTTTTCTATATTACCTATTTAAGGAGTCCACCTGAAGGTTCTCCACCAATTGCCATATCTAACACTCCTGCTTGGATGTTTCACTTTAAACCCTCTGAACCTATAATTTGTGTTAACATCACTGGTCATTTCAGATGTACTAGATCATCATCTTCAACCTTAGGACTAATTTATCCTCAAAGTAAACCCTCCAGAGCCTTTTGTACCTATTTTTACAGCTGACCTAGGTATCGCTATGGCAGAACTAACACTTGTGATCAGGGCTAACCATTAAACTGCTATGTCTTTGTAGAGTTCACTTAGACCCTAGCATCTACTTCATAGCATAACCCTGGTACTTTAGTATACCTCTACCTTTTTCTCTGCCCTTTTACCAAACTCCCAATCCAGATAGCCTGTGTAGGACTATGACCAGTCTATCGGTATATCAGGTCGGCCCGATATCCTTTTCCTCTAGTTCGTTCTGATGGCCTGGTTAGTGGTACCTCCGAGACTCCCAACTTAGAGGTTCTTGCCTGTCTTGCTACTAGGACTGGGTACTAGACCTGAGTATCCGTTTTTCTGGGCTAGTCTTTACAGTAGGGCCATCGAAGATTCAGCTATCTCTTTACTTGGGTCTTTCCAAATGGACTTCTTGTTACTCAATTTTAACAGATTTACATAGCTACAAGGACTTATCTAGTATTTGCACTACCTGATTTGTCAGTTTGCATTCCTCTGTATAACTCCAACATTGCACAGATGTCCCATGACCTGCCAGTCATGCTGGTGTGACTGCTATTACAGATATCCTAACCTAATCGTTAGTAATAGTTGCCATAATACAAATATTACATAAGTGATTATCCAAATTTTCACCATCGATGGGATTTGAACACCTAACCTACCACTTGAAGGGTTGACAACCTGACCACTTCACTAGGTTGCCACACCCTATAAGAATATTTAACTTTATAATAAACATCTTAATAACAATAAGCTTAATATTAATATTCTGTTCAATTTTTTATTATAAGAAATTGATATTTTAAATGCATTCAGTAATTGTAAAAACTAGTTTTAAAGATAGTTTAATAATATTCTACTTTTAAATATCAACAATTATTATAGTATTCATATTATAAAAATGTTTATTATAATTACAATGTCTGTTTTAGTATATTTTATTATCATTTTAATTAATCTAATTAAGATCCAATCTTAATATATTTACTTTTTTTTTTTTTTGCTTACACTAAGGTTATAGTTATCAGTAACTATTGCTTTTATTATATTTAATTATAATTATATAACTTGTACAAGGTGAGTATACAACTAGCTACATGTACAACTTTTGGTTGTCTATTTTAAGTAATCCATCTGCATAGCAGGTTCTACACTAGCTGCCATATCTGCAATCTATTAGAAGATTACCTATTTAAACACTCTGATCCCTATACTTATACTGACAAATAGCATACAAGTTCCTGTATATCTAAGTGCTATCTAACCTAACCATGACCTCTCTGTTTGTATATCTATCAAGTCATTACATATTTCAGAATATGTCATCTAACTGTAGGGCTTTAGAGGGCCCTCTGCTAACTAACTACTCATATTTAGTATCTTGTTAACAGGACTTACTCTTGCAGAGTTCACTTAGACCTTAGTACCAACTTCATAGTATATTCCTAGTACTTATAATATATCTTTGTTTTCAACCTCAAACTCCCAATCCAAATAGTCCAATAGGACTATGTCCTGTTCTTAGTACTTCAGAGTCTGCACTTCAAGGTCCTTTTTCTCTAGTTCAAGACTTTCAGCAGTCTGGTTGGTAGTACCTCTTACTCAAGGTTCTTGTTTGCCTAATTCCTTCCATATTGATATCTGTTTCCTAGGTCTAGTCTTTACAGTAATATTGTTAAAGATTTGTGCTATCTTTCTACTTAGGTCTTCTCAAATGGGCTTCAGTTTTTCAGTTTACAAATTTATACGATTATGAGAACTTATCTTGGGTTTGCATTGTCTGATACAGGTTTGCATTTTTTGTGTAACTTCAACATTGTGCAAATGCCCTATGACCTGCCAGTTATCTGATGTGATTGTGTTACAGATACTGATTCCAACTAATTAACAGAATGCCATTATTATAATACTGCTTACCTCTCATAATACCAATATAACATAGGTGGGTTTTCAAATTTTCACTGTTGGTGGTTTTGAACTTCCAACCTATCACTTGGAAGGTTGACAACTTAACCACTTCACTAAGTTGCTACACCCCTTTAATATATTTACTTTTTTATAACTATTGCTAAGAATTTTGCTTTATAAATAATGAAACCAAGCTTAAAGAATTGATGTTTTATAATTATAATATTCATTTAAAAAAAAAAGAATTTCAGGATTACTAAAAAGCATCAAAAACAAACTCTTCCCTGTAGATCCCTCGACCAAAAACTCTAGGAAAGAAAACATAGAAAAACTCAGTAACTAGACTAG